AAGTATTATGACGTCATTATTCACAGTTGAATAGCAACTGTTAGATATCATCCTTGATTTACTTGACCTTGGCCAGCTTTGCGCAGTAATTGCCGCCCGGCACATTGCGATAGTGTGGAGCGTGTGGAGTTGGTGTGGAGTGCGGTAGTGATTTGCGGTAACTGTAAGTATTTCATAGGTGCTTTGATACTTGGTTCCAGAAGGAATAACTATCAGATATGAAATGAGGAGGTCAAAATACATCGTATAGTATGCTTTTCATAATCGGTTCGCCACTCGGACCTTATATATACTAATACCGACAGCTCTTCCCGCGAAACCCTTTTTTGGGTCGAAAACGGCAGAACATGACGTCACTCTGACGTCATTTCCGGCCAACGTATCATAGCCTTTGGAAAAAAATTTTGGTCACAATGTGTAAAATTGATGTCCGGGAGGGTACTGAAAGTTTGGTGACGATCGGCGCAGCGGTTCTGGAGATATATCAAAAAGTCTGGGTAGTCATAAAGCAGGCGTCACACTTCCGTGTTAACGGCCGGAGGTCCGGTGACGGGCTGTGGCCTTGAGACGGCCGCCGGTTTATTACGTCACAAACGTACTATCGATGCAGAGTTTTCTATCGATGTGAGAGCTTTGATTTACGGAGCGGGGAGATGAAAATGACCAGCGCACAGCGGACGCAGGGAGAGGAAAGGATAAAAAAAACTTGGTCACAGCAGCGGACTCGCTTCGAATCCGAAGGTCACCGGTTCGAATCCCACCATGCCGTTCGATCAGCGGCCGACAGTCGCGAACTTTTTTGGGTGTGTGCGTGTTTTTTTGTGTGTAGAGGGCTGGGACCGGCAGTGTTGAGGGTGCTAGAGCTCACTGACTTGACCCCAATGCAGAGATCCTGGGTTCGAATCCCACCACGGCGTTACCTAAGCGGCCACTTTATCGTAGGTACTTTTTTTAGTTTTATAGGATTGGGATCGGCAGTGCTGAGGGTGCTAGAGCTTACTGACTCGACTCCAATGCAGAGGTCCCGGGTTCGAATCCCACCATGGCGTTGCCTCAGCGGCCACTTTATCGTACTTTTTAAGTTTTAGAGGGCTGGGATCGGCAGTGCTGAGGAAGGTGCTAGAGCTCACTGACTCGACTCCAATGCAGAGGTCCTGGGTTCGAGTCCCACCACGGCGTTACCGAAGCGCCCACTTTATCGTACTTCTTTAGTTTTATAGGATTGGGATCGCCAACGCCGTGGCGGGATTTGAGCCTGGGACCTCTGCATTCGAGCTGAGTCAGTCAACTCTAGCACTCTTAGCACTGTTGATCCCAGCTCTCTAGAACTAAAAAGTACGATAAAATCGGTCTTTGAGTCAATGCCATGGTGGGATTCGAGCCAAGGACCTCTACATTGGAGTTAAATCAGTGAGCTTTAGCACCCTCAGCACTGCGGAACCCTCTAAAACTAAAAAAAGTACGATACAGTCGGCCGCTGAGTTAATGCAATGGTGGGCTTCGAACCCAGGACCTCTGCATTGGAGTCGAATTAAGCTCTAGCACCCTCAGCACTGCCGATCCCAACCCTCTAAAACTAAAAAAAGTACGATAAAGTGGCCGCTTAGGTAACGCCGTGGTGGGACTCGAACCCAGGACCTCTGCATTGGAGTCGAGTCAGTGAGCTCTAGCACCCTCAGCACTGCCGATCCCAACCCTCTAAAACTTAAAAAGTACGATAAAGTGGCCGCTGAGGCAACGCCATGGTGGGATTCGAACCCAGGACCTCTGCATTGGAGTCGAGTCAGTAAGCTCTAGCACCCTCAGCACTGCCGATCCCAATCCTATAAAACTAAAAAAGTATCTACGACAAAGTGGCCGCTTCGGTAACGCCGTGGTGGGATTCGAACCCAGGACCTCTGCATTGGAGTCGAGTCAGTAAGCTCTAGCACCCTCAGCACTGCCGATCCCAATCCTATAAAACTAAAAAAGCATCTACGATAAAGTGGCCGCTTCGGTAACGCCGTGGTGGGACTCGAACCCAGGACCTCTGCATTGGAGTCGAGTCAGTGAGCTCTAGCACCCTCAGCACTGCCGATCCCAGCCCTCTAAAACTTAAAAAGTACGATAAAGTGGCCGCTGAGGCAACGCCATGGTGGGATTCGAACCCGGGACCTTCGGATTCGAAGCGAGTCCGCTGCTGTGACCAAGTTTTTTTATCCTTTCCTCTCCCTGCGTCCGCTGTGCGCTGGTCATTTTCATCTCCCCGCTCCGTAAATCAAAGCTCTCACATCGATAGAAAACTCTGCATCGATAGTACGTTTGTGACGTAATAAACCGGCGGCCGTCTCAAGGCCACAGCCCGTCACCGGACCTCCGGCCGTTAACACGGAAGTGTGACGCCTGCTTTATGACTACCAAAGTCTGGAGGGGAGGGGGCAAAAAATTCCCCCCCCCCCACCAGGGCGCGGGTTAAGGGGCGAAATAGCCCCCCCCTACGGGTGGCAGTGTCCTGCGATAGCCCCACGGCTCACGGGGCGTACGGTTGTTTGTTTGTTAATTGGGGCTTTAGGGCGCGCCGACTACTTAGGTCATTTTGCGCCCATAACGTCGTTTTAATAAAACAAGTGTGTCAAAAGAGAGAACCTTCTAGATACGAATACTAAAAAGTAAAAGACTCGATATAAAACAGCAAGGTAAGATAAAGCAGCGCAAGAGTGTCGTCCTAGACAACTGACTAGATGTAAGGACTAGAGAGGACTAGTTGGATTTAATGTCAGGTCGAGTAAATCGCTTGGAAGTTGATCGAACGGATAAAGGAGAAAATGTTGCCGGATAAAACCCAGGGTGAGTCGTCACCCAGAAGGTGGCGGATAGTGGTATCCGGAGCGATGCGCCCGAGATAGCGTGTCCGGTTCGGTTCAGCGAGAGGACAAGATAAAAGCACGTGAGAGACAGTGAGAGGCACGGCACACCGACTGCATGTGGGTTGTTCCTCTCCACGGAGGAGATAGCCATGAGTCGCGTACGTATGACCAATACGTAATCTGCAGAGGGCCACTTCCTGGTGCCTGTTGCTTTGGAAGCAAGACTGCCAGGGCTCCAAGGTAGGCTTCACGCTCCGCAGCTTCCCAGATCCTTGGAGATGCCACTCTGCCTGCCAGCTTGACATCGTGAAGGTTTGGATGGCTGGGTAAAAATCACGAGCCGGCAGGGGCAAACGCCGAAGGCATGGAGCCGCGGCCGCGCGTCTCGCGGCCGCGTCGGCGAGTTCATTGCCAGTTATACCCACATGGCTTGGAATCCAGCAAAACTTAATAGTTTTGCCTGACTGCTCCACCGACGTGAGCCGAGATAAAATGTCTTGGACTATCGGATTGTCTGGGTTGAACCTCCGTATAGCCAGCAGGCTGCTGAGAGAATCCGATAAAATGAGGTAAGACAAGTTGTCAGACACCTCGATAAAACACAACGCCTTCTCGATTGCAACGAGCTCGGATGAGAAAACGGAGGCAGAGGAAGGCAATGAAAAAGTGCGCGTGTCGCGACCAGCCACGAAAGCGCAGCCGACGCCGTCCTCCGTTTTCGAGCCGTCTGTAAACACCGAGATAAAACCGTCGTATGACGCAATGTGTTCCAATGCCCGTGCTCGTTGCACACATGGCGGCAGGTCGTCCTTCTTGACCTCAGAGAGCGTGAGGTCTACTTGCGCTGGAGCGTATTTCCATGGCGGAGAGGGCGTACCCCACGTACGTCGCACTTCACGGAACTCTATGTTGACTGTAGAAAAGAGCTCTTTTATGCGCAATCCGAAGGAGACCGATTGTCGCACTCTGTCAAGACCATTAAAATCAGGAGAAAAGACGTACGGATACGTCGGATGTCCTGGGAACTGGCGGAGTTTCAGTGCGTACCTCATCCCCAGCATCTGACGGCGGAGAGATAGTGGCGGTTCGTGTGCCTCGGCGAGGAGGCTGCTCTTGGGCGACGTGCGGAATGCACCTGTGGCAACACGTAGCGCCGCGTGGTGCACGGAGTCAAGAGCCTTTTTACTGGATTCGCTGGCAGAGTCGTAAACAAAGCATGCGTAATCCAGTTTCGATCGGACGATCGACCGATATAAAAGAAGGAGCGTCCTGCGGTCCGCACCATAAGATGTGCGGGCGACACATTTTAAAACGTTCAGGGATTTAAAACATCGTTCCCGAAGCATTCTAAAATGTTCTCTATACGTCAAACGACTGTCAAAAAATATTCCAAGAAACTTCGCCACCGGCCGAGTAGGAATCACCTGTCCACGGAGCTTGATTCCTAAGGCTAAGTCGTCGCAGCGGCGGCGGCAAAAGTGCATAGCGACGGTCTTCGTTGTTGAAAAACGAAGGCCGTTGTCGTCGCTCCACCTCTCTAGACGGGTTACAGCGAGCTGCAACTGTCTGGCAACGTGACGGGCGGTCGTGGCAGAAAACCAGATCGCGAAATCATCGACAAATAGCGATCTGCCGATGGATGGTGCAAGTTTGTCGCCAATATCATTGATCGCCACAGCGAACAGCGCCACACTGAGAACTCCGCCTTGGGGAACTCCGTTCTCTTGAGTAAAACTGCTCGAAAGACTACTGCCAACTCGGACTTTGAACCGACGACCCGATAAAAAGTTCTTGATAAAGAGGCCCATCCGGCCGCGTATGCCGTACTTGTGTACTTTGGAAAGTATTCTGTGTCGTAACACTGTATCATAGGCCGCCTCAATATCAAAGAACAGTGCTCCAAGGTGCTTCTTTTCAGTAAAACAGGTGCATATCTCGGTGTCGAGGGCTAAAATGTGGTCAACAGGGCTGCGGTGCTTTCTAAAACCGCACTGGGCGTTTGTAAAAACACCGTGACGTTCCAGAAACCAGCTAAGACGCACATTGACCATCTTCTCCATCAGCTTTGAAAGCGATGATGTGAGAGAGATGGGCCGATAGTGGAGAGGGTCATGTCCCGACGTACGGGTTATGAGAATCATTTAGATAGCTTACCTTCTGTCATGACGAAATAGAAGTAGGTATTGGTTTTTTGTAACAAAAAAGTTGGAACTTGGACGAGCGGTCAGCATTACAAAAGAATCTAAGGCGGAAAAATAAAAAATAGTACAAAATGCAGTAAAACAATTATTACACCTACAATGTATTAGATATTATTCAGAAGGATGAATGAAGCTATGAAGATTTTCGAGCATTTACTTTACCATTTACGTATCGTGACCGAGTTGTGACCCAAATTCCTGAAGGCCGTCTTTCTGATCTTCTCTCTCAATCACGTTCACATCTTCGAGTTGATGCCACATGAAAACACAAGAATCCGTTTTCGCCGGCATTTCCATCCGCTCCCTCCCTCCGCTCTCCGATACAAGCCGTTGCCAGGCAACCGTTGTCATGACAACCAATGTGGGCATTCCAATCCAGGGTATATTGAGTGAAGGGTAGGACGAACTTTGGTAGGAATTTCTAGTATAACTACTAGAAAACCAGTACTATATGTGGTCGGGACTAGCAAAAGGTTAGTTCAAACTAGAATATGGTAGCGCTTGTGGTTGGCAGTCGTGACGCGCACGTGACATTCATTTCTTAAATTTCTTAAATAACAGGTTTTAGGGGCCGATTAGTGGGCAGATACATTCAATTAGCTATTAATAATTGATTATGCATACATTCAAGAATCACATCATTCAATTCTAGCCAAAACCACGTGGCGCTCCCAGGATTCGAACTCATGACCCTCGGATCCGTAGCCCGATACGCTACCGACTGCGCTATCGAAGACCGCGCGCCGACGTTCGGAGAGGCGGATCGCGGGTGCCGGGGTGCAGAGAAATCTTTACCCTGTACGCCGTAGAAGATCGGCTAGGTTTCGTAAAAAATGGTAGAGGAATTGCCGAAAGAAAATTCATCGATCTATCATTTGAGACTAAGAACCATTGATTCCTTCAAAGGTTGACCGAGATATCGCTCGCCGAAAACAGGCCATTTAACATGTAAACCCTATGCTGGTAGGAAATGTACGCCGTGGAGCAGCAGTGCTACCAACTAACTTCGGCGGGGGCCGATTCCAATCGGCCGAGTTTCCCGCCAAACCGGGATCCAAGATTGTGAAGGATGCATAGTTCACAGTTCCCATGTCGCATTGGCCGGGGGGGGGGGGACTTCCCTTTTCGTTGATTCACTATCCCCCCACAAAAATGCCTGTTTTTTGTTATATGGTGAGCTCAAATGGGGTTAACCCGCCCCCTGTACCTATGGCCGTCAACCGACCCTGCCACCCGTGACTCCCCCCCCCTCCCAAAGATCTCGGAAAGTTACCGACCGATTTTCGAATTTCAAACGACATTCGATAGCCCCAGCGGAGAACTACCTTGTGACCAAATTTCATTGACCTAGTTTAACCCTCGCCGGCACAGGGGGGGGGGGGTGATGCAACCCCCCCTAAGGTTTTTTTGCGAATAACTCGCGTAAAAAGCGGCCGATCGCGACGAAACTTTCAGTACCCTCGCATTGATCAATTTTACACTATCCCTGAAAATTTCATGACCCTGACCCCAATGACCTTTGACCTGTGACCTCTTTTCTGAGACCATGTTTGGCCGGAATCGCGATTCAGCGTATGTCGGCTCACATTAGCCGCGCGTTTGCAAGCTTTTTGTGGTTTAAAACGTTCAAACATGTAATTTGATGTCGCTCCCATACATTAGGGTGGGTGTCAAGGTCACCTGAAGGTCAGGTCAGGTCATTGACCTTTGGTGACCTCGGGTGACCTCGGTTCACTTTTTCGAGTTTTACATGTTTCTAGGCTAGTTTTTGGAGCTAAATTCGAATTTGGCAACCATTTGAACATTTACGAAGTAGTTTTGTTGCCTTCGTAACATGTTACGAAGCTGTCAGAGACGGTTGACACGTATTACGAATACCCGTCACAACCCCTACCGGTTGACCTGACCTGACCTGACCCGACCTGGTCTAAATGCTTAAAGACATCATCTCTGATCAAAACTAACACGATATTCGTGATCAGCACCCCGGAAAACCACATAGCAGCAACAATTTACGACTTTCTAACAGGTCCCGATTTTCCCAGTTTTCGGGTCATTGACCTGACCTGGGAGGTCACCCGGTGACCTAGGACCTTAACCCGCGAGTTACTGGGGGGGCGTTAAACGCCCCCACTTTTTTCGCCGGGCCATAGCATAAATTTTGGGTACCTGTAGGCAGTGGCGCAGCCAGGATTTCGTTTCGGGGGGGTCATCGCCTCCAAAGCGGGCCCCATAGTGAGCGGGCCCCGGGTTTAGTCATGTACAGTACCGCGAGTCAGTGTCTTATTTGTTACATTATCACCGTGAGGCACGATGCAGTGTTCATTATTGGAATAAATCGTAAAAATAAAAAATCATTTTTGAACAAATCGCAACAAATCGTAAAAATAAATGCATAAAAAAATGTTGAGCGAAGTAACTAGATTTTGTAACTCTCTTGCCCATGCTGATAAATGGCATGCCATAACACATGGTCTTTTACCTTGTACTGTGAATAGTGATCCAGTTTTCTTTCGATTTGGTCGCCTATCGACCGTCCTCCCAGCGTGTGACTTCTGTCTGACCTGCTGTGTTCCAGACTCGCCGCAGGGTGACCGCGACGGAGAGATCGAAGACGAGGAGCAGCACTGCGATGAGGAGGAGCAGCCATCAGAGGGTCCGCCTCACCCACACCAGCAGAGGTGGCAGCTGATTGAACAGCAACATCAGGAGCGGTGGAAGGAGCAGGAACTACAACATCAGCAGCTCTGGCAGGAACTGGATAACCCAGGAAACGAAGAAAGAGTGAGGATGGACAAAGAGCATGAAGAGGAGCGTCTGGATCTGGACCAGAAACACGGTAAGGAGTGGCAGAACCTGGACGAACGTCACTATGAGGAGCGCATTACGCTTCATCAGCAGCACGGGGAGGACACCAGATGCATGCACGTGCGAGTCAATGAGCAAGCACGATCCAGGCTTCTGCGATGGTTCCTGGAGTGGAAAGGACATAGGAGGCTGAGTAAGATGCAGCAACAGCTGAAGCAACTTTATCGCTCCCACCAGCAGCAGTGCCAAGAGCTGGAGCAGAGACACCAGAGAGAGTCATGGGAGCTAGAGCTCAGACACCTGAGAGAGTCACAAGAGCTGGAGGAGAGGCTCCCGAGCGTCCGGTCGGAGGAGTTGGATCGGCTGCTGGAGGAGTGCAGCAGGAGACGTCATCAGCTGAGACAGAAGTTAGAGAAACAGCTTCAGGAGCAGGAACAAGACGATCAGCGGCAGAGCCTGCTGGCGCGTCAAAAGGAGAAGCGTGAACAGCTCCTTCGGCAGCACAAAGAGGACAACAGATACCTTAACATGCGGATCGATATTCTTCCACGCAGATACCACGGTCCGCAGGTACCACGGACAAGGCTTCTGCGACGGTTCCTGAAACGGAGAAGACAATGGAAGCTGAATAAGATGCACAGAAAACAGCTGAAACGGCTTGATCGCTCCCACCAGCAGCAGTGCGTAGATCTCCATCTGACACTGCTGGCGGAGTGGCTGGAGCTGGAGCAGAGACACCAGAGAGAGTCACGAGAGCTGGAGGAGGGACACCAGAACGAAGAAGGTGAGTGACAGACTTCGATATCAGACGGTGAGCGACTTTGCATAGAAACCGGCAAACGTGAAACGATTTCTGAGCTATTTATTCCGTGGAAAATCGCTATTTTTAAAATAGCGATTTCAACGCTATTTACTCCGTGGAAAAGAAAAACCATGATTACTTTATCACAAACTTGATTACGACACCCTGGCAATTTTTTTTTGTATTAACCCGCGCACCGACGGGGGGGGGCGGATATCCGCCCCCCTGAGGTTTTTCGCGGATACGCGAAATTTGGTACGACTATTCTCTCATCAATTTTACACATGGTGTGCAAGTTTGAACCTCCTAACTTTTAAGATCAGGTCACCAGGTCACTTTGAATGACCCAACCTCAAGTCACTTTTTTGCAACTTTGTCACCGTGCCAGAGCTACAGTAGATGTCGGAGGCCTTTGAAAGTCGCAGGATGTTATTAGGTCATTAGTAGCTACAATTTGTATATCTCGGAATTTTGATGTCGGTGACCTAAGGTCAGGTCAATTTTGCGACCTCCCCATTATACGAGGGGCGTTCAAAAAGTTCTCGTCCCGACCATGAAGGAGCAGAGATACGATGTCGACTTATTAGACCAAAAATGTTCATTTAGTCAAATAACCAATGTTAAGACAAAAATATTTCGCGCAGCGCTTCGCGAGAGGCCCCTGGGTCTCCATAGCCAAGTGGGTTTTGGACGCATCTGGCACGTCCGAGACGGCTGCTTTTGTCTCCTTGCTGTCAGCGAAGTTGCCACTGCTAAGTAATTTCCTTATGCTGGGGAAGAGGTGGCAACCTGAGGGTGCAAGGTACGAAGAAAAAAGTGGCTGTGACAACAACTCGAAGCCACAGCTCACTGCTTCGCTGATCGTCACCCTGCTCATGTGTGCTGGTGCGTGGTCCTGGATCAGGCGCACACTTTCAGTCAGCTTCCCTAGCCCGGCCGGGCCCGGGGGGTAATCCCAACCACCGCAGCCCGGGGGGGGGGCGTTTTTCGCCCCCCCCCTGTCTAACTCCGTAAATAAGGGAGCTACGGAAACAAAAGCGATACCAAACGAAAGGTCCTTACGAGACGATTCTAATGCACCTAAAATTTTTGACCTCAGGTCAATTTTCAAGGTCAGAGGTCAAGGTCAAAGGCCAAAACCGGCACATGTGTAGTGATCTCAAAGTAAGCCTTCTAGAGGACGGCAGGCTGCATCAAACCGGCAAAATTGGGTGTCAAACGAAAGAAGAGAATCTGAGAATTCTGAAAATGTGCTCCAAATCAAAGGTCAAGGTCATGGTCACGCTCAAAATTGACCTCAAACTTGGCGCTTTTTCGCATATCTTGCGTGCTAACTTCCAAGATGTTTTGAAATGTTTTGAGGCTTATCAGTTCCTTTTTTGTGGTTCATCTTACGATACAAGGCTGCTCAAAGGTCAAGGTCACAGAAGAGTATCCCTGCTAGAGGCTATTTCACTGATTCAAGTTAGTAATAATAAATCAGACAATTTTGCCATCCGGAAGCTCTAATTGAAGGCTTAGAGGAAAAAAGATGCCAGATTCGTGATCAGCGGGTACAAATCCATCATAAACGACCTTTCATGTGTCAAGGTCAACCAGCGGTCATTCGAGGTCACATGTGGTCAACATGAAACTTGACCTTTTCCGAACAAAATATATATCATTCGACGCGGCTTGTCAAGGCGAATGCGATGGTACCACTGCCGTAGCTCTAGGACCATTTTGTCGAAGTTATTTGCGAAAAACTAAAACCACATTTCGGGGTCGTTGACCTGACCTCTGACCTCAGGTCACTAAAACTATTTTCTATTTTTCTCTAGGTCAAACGCTACCCAGCCGTGCTCGTAATTTGTCTTTTTCTCTAAAACTCTATCTTTAGCAGCTATTTGAAGTTTGCGTCTGTGACGCCGAAGTTTGCCGTGCAGGGGTCTAGAAAAATGGACCTTGTGACGTCATCAAGGGGGCTAGGTCCAAATTTTTTACTTCAGAAGATGTCAAATTGATGGGAGAAAAGGTACTGAAAGTTTCGCCTTCCTATCCTTAAGCGTTCGGGAGTTATCGCAAATATTCGCCGGGGGGGGGGCGAAAAACGCCCCCCCCCCCGGGCCCGCAAGGGCTAGTCTCTCCTTGATATCTGCTGCTCGCTACTGTTATCGACGGAGGTGTAGCATTCATCATTAATTGTGCGCCCCTGTTTTAGAAAGTTGACGAGCAGAGCCCCGCCATCATCCAAAAATGCAACCACTGTCACCTTGCCGTCTGACTGAAACACGTCGCACACATTTGGTGGCCTTTACTCAGTGTGCTTCCACTTGTGCAACTCGGTCACGCCCTGAGGGTCAATGTGTGACACCCACAATCCCTCCACGGTAACAAGTATTTCAATGAACTCTTTTGGATCTTCGATATAGGGGCCAAAATTTTCGCGTTACGCCTCCTTTCGAGTTTGCCTTCTCTCTGGAGTCAGCCAAACGGGGGATGCATCTTGCAGAGATCTTAAACATATTAATACGCTGTCGAAGAAAGGCTTTGAGGAACCTGATAGACAACTCCGCTTCTGCTGCACGTTGTTTCAGACCATAGCATTTGTCATTTTTCACAAAGAAGTGCTTATTTTTCATATTTTCTTGAATCAATGCTGTTGATGGCTGGCCACTGCGGGGGTGACCATTAACCCGCGCCCGGCTGGGGGTCCTGGATTTCCACGCCCTGCTGGGGGGGGGGTGTTTGAACACCCCCCCCCCTTGTAACTCGGCTCCTGGGCCACGTAGCGATACGCGGAAGGCGGCGTTCGAAAGAGCGTCAAAAATAATGACGAAATTACTTCGGTCAATTTTTTGGTCAGGTCAAAGGTCAGGTCACCAGAGGTCATTGAAGGCAAAATTTCGCCGATTTCCAGGTCGAATGTCGAAAATTTCCAAGAAGCCAACGCATAACTCGGGAACCAATAGAGCTACAGCGCCGCGGAAAAGCGCATTCGATAGCCCTATTAACGCCCTTCCTGAATAATTCTCTCAGATTTGACCTAACGTCAACGGTTTTGCCTGCAGGGGGCAAAAACTGCAAAAATAGCCGATTTTTTCGAAAACAGTTTTTCTGCAATAACTTTTGACCCAAGCCTTGTACGAGCTTACTTTTACCGGCATCGTGTTCCTCTCGTCAAGACGCATCGAATGAACTATAAATTGACCTTGAAAGGTCAACTTGAAAATTTGACCTCAGGTCAAGGTCATGACCTGACCGGAAAGGGTCATGTTGCATATCAGTCGATCCGTATCGTCGAGCTGAACATATCTAAGGCGTTTTCATCGATCTAGCATGCCTCTATCAAAAGTTATTTGCGAAAAACTGTTAGATACCATTCGTGACCTAAGATGACCTCAGGGCATAAACAAGGGTCACGGACACCATTTTCATGTTCAGTGTGTCTAAACCCCTTGTAATTCGGTGTTTGGGAGTGTTTATAATGTCTTGCATCCAAAAGAGGCGCATTTCAATTTTCTCCCATTGACTTATAATGGCGAGGTCGCAAAATTGACCTGACCTTAGGTCATCGATATCCAAATTCTGAGATATACATTTTGTACATGCTATTGCCCTTAGCAATCGCTGAAAGTTTCAAAGCGATCGGTCACTCGGTGTAGCTATGACAGACATTGAAAATTTTTGAGGTGAGGTCACTTCAAGTGACCTGGTGACGTGACCTTGAATGACCTTGGTCTGAAATTTTCACAACATGTGTAGAATTCATGTATGATAAGGTGTACCAAAAACGGCGGCGCTCCGCGCCGCCGTTTTTGAGATATTCGCGAAAAACCACAAGGGGGGTGTTCAAACACCCCCCCCCCCCCAGCAGGGCGCGGGTTAATGATCTGTTGACCAAAATTGAACAGAGATGCCCACTTTTTGACGCTACTGTAAAAAAGACAAACCTCAACATGTGTTGGCACTAGCTTTTCGTGAATAACGTTTGGTGCATTTTTCTGCAATACATGAACCAAATCACTGTTCTCTTCTGGGCGTCGCCCATTCTGACCGGGAATAGCAAACTATGCTACGATTAATTAGCAGCCTGAACCAATCACAGGGCAGATTGGTTAATGGCTATGTAAGTGGACATCCCAATAACACATCATTGAACACACCGCGTTGCAGGCCGAAATTCGAACTCCTTCATGGTTGGGCCGATATTTTTTTGAACGCCCCTCGTAAGTCAATGGGGAAAAATCAACTCCCTGTTTTTACCACTAAAACGGGTCGGAATGGCCCCATATACCATACATGACTTCATATATGATCAACCTTCACTACCTTGAGTTCTGTTTTGCTGTTGGGCAGCTGTAAGGTCATGTGACGTCATCAAAGGTCACCGAAAGTTTTTTGCCAATAACTCCGTACAGGAACAAGATACAGCCGCACGGATGGTCTCATTGTGTTCAGCTCGTCAAGACGCATCGAATGATATACATGATGACCTCGAGGTCACGTGACCTGAGGTCAACCTTTCACCTTGACCTTTCGAGGTCAACATATATATCATTCGATGCGGATTGCGAGAGGATCACGATGATGCCCTTAGTTTGTTCCTATCTTGACTACTTCGAAAGTTATTCGAGAAAACCCTCTCCATATCTAGCGCCGCCATTTTGACTTTTTCGACCCCTGTGACGTCATCTTTGACCTGACCTGAAAATGACCTGTGTAAAAATTGTAGACCTTGTCCGTGCGTATCCGATGCCGTTTACCGCTTGTCGCTATCTTGCTTCGTTCTCGAGATCTCAGGGGGGATCCGCCCCCCCCCGTCGCGTCGGTGCGAAGTTGGCGCAGACCCCCGTCGGTGCGCGGGTTAATTTTTCAAATCAATTTTAGCACGTATTTGACATCGTACGCCAATATAAATAGCACCATCGTGTTTCTGGGCTCAAACTGCATCCACTAGAGACCTTTTTTGTTGAAAAATTTCAACTTCAAAATTTGACCTTTTTTACCT